GTCACTTCCACATTAATTCCTCAGGTTACATGAGCTACTATCATTCAGTGTGATAAGGTACTATAATGATTGCCACAGGGCACACATTAAAATATGGTTATTCTTCTGTCAGGTTCAAGCCACACCTATTTGCCCTTTCAGAGGCAACTACTCAGTAGTAATTTTTTAAACATTTATTTATTGATTTTCTTTTTCAGGGTGGTGCACATGCCACAGCATGCATAGAGAGGTCAGAGGACAACTTTCGAGAGTTGATTCTCTTCTTCTACCATGTGAGTTCCAAGGATCAAACTGAGGTCCTCAGGTTTGGCAGCACGCACCTTTACCCACTGAGCCCTCTTGCCAGCTCCCAGTAGTATTTTATAGACACACACACAATTGCATTCACCCATAAGTATATCTTTTCATTCCATGTCTTGGAAGTAAGTCTTCCCATGTCAGAACACAGTAACTGACCCTTCTTTTGCTGCAGTGGACCATTCCTATGTGCGCACATGCCGTAAGTCAGTTTACCCTCCCCATAGGTGGCTAATTGGATTGCTTCCAGTTGTCTAGTGTAAGCAATGTTGCCCTGAATTAACAGGTTCTCATAGTCCTTTGCATAGGCATAAGAATATCAAAGATAAATTCCTAGATGTGGACCAGTTAGCAGGAGGGCCTTCTTGCCCTCCCCACCCCCTCACCCCCCGCCGTGATCCATGTTGCCCTTCACAAAGGTTGCTTATAACAACTTATGCTCCCTCCCAGCAAAGAATTGGTAATGTGCTAGGATCTCTGGAAGATGAACAAGTAATTTAAAATGTAGTATCATTTATCTCTATTGTCTGGTTGTTTTTGTAGGCTACTCCAGCCACTTCTTTTTAAAAGATGTATTTGTGTGTGTGTGTGTGTGTGTGTGCAGGTATCCAAGAGGGTACAGGGACTCCTGGAGCTGGAGTTCCTAGAGTTCCATGTGATTGTAAGCTGCCTAGTATGTGTGCTGGGAACTGAACACTGGTCCTCTGGAAAAACAGCAAGTGCTCTTAACCACTGAGCCATCTCTTCAGCCCTCCTGCCACATTCTTTCCTCAGCTCTCTTCCTTCTCTACCAGTGGTGCTCAGCCTTCCTAATGCTACGAACCTGTGTTCATTAGGGTTTCTATCGCTGTGAAGAGACACCATGACCAGAGCAACTCTTTTTTAAAAAAATATAATTTATTTAAGTTTATCTTATGTGTATTGGTGTGAAGGTGTCAGATCCCCTGGAATTGGAGTTACAGACAATTGTGAGCTGCCATGTGGGTGCTGAGAATTGAATTCAGGTCCTCTGGATGAGTAGCCAGGGCTCTTAACCTCTGAGCCATCTCTCCAGCCCTTCACGGCAACTCTTATAAAGGAAAACATTTAACTGGGGTGACTCACTTACAGTTCAGAGGTTTAATCCATTATCATCATGGTAGGACATGGCTGCATGCAGGCAGACATGGTGCTGGGGAAGTAGCTGAGAGTCCTACATCTTGCAGGCAACAGGAAGTGGTCTCAGACACTGGGCGATATCTTGAGCATAGCCCCCTCAAAGCCCACCCCCACAGTGACACACTTCCTCCAACAAGGCCATACCTACTTCAAAAGCCACACCTCCTAATAGTGCCACTCCCTATGAGCTTATGAAAGCCAATTACATTCAAACTACCATTTTGATATAGTTCTTCATGTTGTGGTGACCCCCAACTGTAAGATTATTTTTGTTGGTACTTCATAACTGTAGTTTTTATTGTTATAAATTGTAAGGTAAATATCTGTGGTTTTTGATGGTCTTAGGTGACCCCTGTGAAAAGGTCTTTTGACCTCACAAAGGGATCTTGACCCAAAGATTGAGAGCTGCTCTATACTGTGTGCTAAACCTTTCTCTCATGCTTGCTTGCCCATGGCCTCTGAAATTCCTCTTCTTGCCTTCAACACAGCAGGTGAGTTCTTTTAACAGTTAAATACCCAAGACTGACTCTCCAATGCTAAGATGGTTCTTATGGTTTGGGTCCAAAATGCTCATTATAGGTTCATGTATATTGGTGGTGTGCTGTGTAGACAGAATAGGGCAACTTTGGAAGATAGAACCTAGTCAGAAGAAGTCACTGAGAGCAGGCTGTTATGGACATTGTGTCTGACTTCTTCCTGTCTTGCTCCTTGCTTTCTAGGTGGCTACAATATGAACAAGCCATAGCTGTGAGCTTCCCAACATCACAGACTAAGAGCTCCTCCTGCTGACATGCTTGTCTGCTATGATGGACTAGGATGCCCTGAAACCATGCACTAAAATAAATACGTCCTCCCTTAAACTGCTTCTGGCACGTATCTTGTCTCAGTAACTATAAAAGTAACTAACACAGTTCCCCGAGATAGAGGGACATGAGTAGGCAGTTTCTCTGTGTCCTGGCCCCTACTACATACTTGTAATCAGCTTTATGATCTGTTGTTACAACAGTGTGGTCTTTATTTTTATTTTCTTTCCTTTCTTTTTCTCTTCTCTTCATCCTACCCCTGTGCTAGGGACAAAACTCAGGGCCTTATGGCCTGTGCATGCTAGGCAAGCACACTGAGCCATTCCCTAGCCCCTGGTTTGCTTGTTTGCTTGTTTGTTTGTTTGTTTGTTTGTTTGTTTGTTTCAAATAGTTTTACTATGTAGCCTAGGCTGACCTAGAACTTACTATCCTCCTGCCTCAGTCCTCCAAGTATTGAGATTGTAGGTATGAGCCACCATACCCACTTTAAAAAATTTGTTTTCCCAACATTTTGTTTTGAACTTTTTCTACTGACCCAGAGTTGTAAAGATGCAGGCAATGAAGTCCCATTATATAAACCACAAACTGAGAGTGGTTTCCACATTTTTGTTTGTTTTGTTTTTTTAAGACAGGGTTTCTCTGTATAGCCCTGGCTATCCTGGAACTCACTCTGTAGACCAGAATGGCCTCGAATTCACAGAGATCTGCCTGCCTCTGGTTCCCGAGTGCTGATATTAAAGGCGTGCACCACCACACCCACCTTAAAAATTTATGTATTTTCATTTTACTTGTAAAAGTGTTTAACTGAAGTTACAGGCTGGTGTGAGCCACATTGTGACCTGAGAACCAAACCAGGATCCTCTGTGAAAGCTGCAAGTGCCTTTAACCTCTGAGCCATTTCTCCACCTCCTAGCTTCCACATTTTTAAGGGTTAGAACAAAAATACAAAAGAGTGAAGAATGTTTCATAACACCTTAAAATTATAGGAGAGTCAAATATCAGTGTTCATATCATTTACCACTTGTTTCCATGTTACCCATGACGGCTTTCACTCTGCAGTGGTGGTCCTGGAGACCCCATTGCTAAGCCCCAAATACTTATTTGAATCCTTTTTACAAAAAGTTTGCCAACACCTGACTTAGATCTACCAATTATTAAATGTCTTTTGTGTGATTCTGGGATGGAACCCAGGGCCTTGCAGAGAAGCATTCCACAGCCAAGACTTTTCTCCAGCTCTTCAAAGGTTAAGATTTTCTGCTTCTTCTACTCTTAAGTATGGTAGTGGTTCTTTTACATTTTTTTTTCTGGGATGGAACCCAGGACTTTGAACATTCAAGGCAGGTCCTCTACCCCTGGGTGACATCCCAGCCCTCTGCTTCTTCAGCCAACACAGGAAATAGCAGACTTAGAGTGAGGAGAGACAAGATAATGAAATGTTAGGTGCACTGTGCTTGGTGTGTAGACAGAACTCAATAAACATGGCAATGAAAATTCCAGGCATTTTTTTCACACAGGGTTTTTAAAAAACAAAAAACAAAAAACTAGCTTGGGCCTGCTGAGCCTGAGTCTTCCCTCTCTCCCTGGTTTCTGTAGTCTGGAAACCAGCTTTTCCCAGAAAGATTTTTAGCCAAGGAAGCAGAAAAGGCCTCCAGGAAACTTCATTTTTTCCATAGCTTGTGGTTTGGCTGACTCAACTTCTGCCTTTCCCTGAGTCACAAGTTTGTCCTCTTCCTTAGAGGAGGGAGGGAGCCTTCACTCAGGCCTCCCCACCCACCACCAGGCCCTGCTGGGAAGGGGTGGGTAGCTGGATGATCAGTTTATGCAGCTATAGGGGAATTCCCACCCTTCCTTTCAGCTGCATGGAATGTTGGGGCTAGAAGGAGACAGTGGAGACTGAGTTCTAAGTGGGCCCTGCCTCACCAGTGGATCGAAGCTGGAGGCATTTCCTGACTCCAGAATCAACAGGTATTCCTTCTTTCCTCTGGTCTTTTAGACTCCCTTCTTTAGACAGCCACTCTCTGCCAGATACTGTGTTGGATGCCAAGATGCCCTCACAGGGGACCATCCTCATCCTAGCCACCTCCATTTCTCCCTGAAAAGTCCACCTTTGCTAAGGAGGTGAGGGAGGGAGCTCAGCGGATTGAGGCAGCCATGACACATGACCCTGAAGACTCAGCTGAACAACCCCTCTCAATATCCTACCTGAGCTTCTTGGTGGGACTGGAATACTACCTCTGTGAAAAAGCAGACTCCTCACTTGTGCCCACCAGGGAGGCAAAAGAAGAGTGAGAGCCCAGCATGTCTGTCTGCACCTCTTTATCTGTCACTCCTCCTGCTTACCCCACACATACGCATGTCACCCACGCATGTCTAAAAACAAGAGAAATCTAAAGGCTTTCATGGCGTTCACACAGAAAGCATCTGACCTTTAACTTTTATAATGTTCTGTTCCAAAGTCTCCAAACACACCATGAGCTCTGTAGTCATTGTCTCAAATTCATGGATTTTGGGAATGGCAAAGCCTCCTGGCTATCACCCCACCCCCACCCCAGCCACCTTCAGACAAAGGTCTCTGACATCCTCTCACCCCCTGCCCAAATTCTTCATCTATTTAAACCTAAAGCTTGTGTCAGTGCTCCGAAGATTAACTCCGGATGTCACAGAAGTCCTTTATCTGTGAATGAGAAGATGAAATGAGGACATGACACTCCTAGGTATGGTGGAGAAGAAGGTTTACTGTAGCTATGAGGAAGAGCATAGGCAGAGTCTTATGGAAAAGTCCACAGTGAAATAGCTGGCCGACTGAACCAGGCCATGTGAGAAGAGGGGTCGGGGGAGAGCCAGAAGTCAAAACCAAAAGCAGCTGAGAGACAACAGGGAAGCCCAGCCCAGTCACTGGGCTGGAGAATTTAAGCTAGGGGGTGAGGTATGCAAGTCAAGATGACTCTGTCACAGAATCTAAGAAAGGCCAGAGAACCTGGCAGCCATTATCTGCAATAGTTACAAGCTAGCCTGTGGGACTTCAGACCCTGTCTTTTGCTCTAGACAGTGGAGAGTTTGGCTACACCACCAACCAAAAATCCAACTGGGATACATCCATGGGTAGGGGAGGCCTAGAGTAAAACCATAAAGAGTGGTGTGGCCCATGGTGGATGAAAGAACATGAGCCCCATCTAAAGGGGACAGTGTGCTGTGGAGAAGTAGACCAACCAGTATTTCCAAATCTTTGATTGATTGATTATGTAGCCCAGGCTGGCCTCAAACTCAATCCTCCTGCCTCAGCTTCTGAGTGCTGAGATCACAGGCATGTGCCACCCAGGCCCCCAAATCTTAGATAAGCTAAAAATCTGGGCTGAGGATATAGCTAATTGATTTGGCACTTGTCTAGTATGTAAGGCCCTAGGTTCAAATCCCAGTATTGGTTGGGTGAGGATGTGATAAGAGGGGACTAAAAGTCTCAAATTTTATGTGAATTCTTTTAATCTGAAATGTTCACAGAAGTGCATTTTGTAAATGTTTACACAAATTTCAAGTCAAAAAGAAATGTTCTTAAAGTATGGCTGCTTAATAAATGCTGATGGGGGTGGTGGTGTGGGTGACCATAGGAATTTGGTAGAGATTAAGGGACAGAAGGCTGGAGACCCAGCTTAGGTAAGGGTCTGCCCCTAACACCAACACCGCGGGGGTTGGGGGGACGGGGACATTAGCCCTTTTGAAACCCTCTAGTCCCCTCTGGCCTTGGTCCTGGCCCAGCAGGCACCAGGCTAACCAGAGCTAGGACCTCTTCAATGTAACCAGTTTGGCAACACAAACTGACACTATACAACAGACATTAGCCCAGCACTCTAGAGACAAAAGCAAGTCAGGGACAGCCTGATCTACACAGTTTCTGACCATACATAGTAAAATCCTGTCTTTATGAAAAACAAAAAACAAACACCAACAACAAAAATAGACGAAGTAGAGCACTGATGCTTTGGGGCCAAAGAGACCTCCCTGAGAAGGTATTGAAATGACAAAGGAGGGGAGTGCAAAGGGTGAGAGTGGAGCCCGCCCAGTGGTTTTGAGGAACCGGAAGAAGACAGTGGAAGAGGATTGCATGGAGGCAGTTAGACAGGAAGGCAGGCTTGGAATTGAGTTCTGAGTGTCACCACCAGCCAGGTGGAGTCAAGCAAGGGGTACTTAACCTATTCACGTTGGAGCTATGTGATGAGAACGTGGGGTCAGCTAGACTCATTTCCTCCCGTGTGTTTTTGCCATTTTCCACTAGGAAATTTTTATAAAGTTCTGTTGGTCTTTAATAAAAGGCGTGTCACCATCGCCGAAAATAGATAGCCATCATGATAACAGGGGCATCTGAGGGCCCACAGTCCCACCATCCCGTCGCACGTGCTTCAGTGGTGGACCGTCCCCCGAACCCGCGCCGACTCAGCCTTCAGCACGGCGGCCAGAGAAGTTGGGGACGGGACTCCAACCAGAGATTAGTCCCTCAGCCACACGCAGAAAACGAGCTGACCCTCTTGCCATCCAGCGGTTCAACTCCACCCGCGCACATTTCTGGGGAACTTGGGCTCACTCCGGCTCCGCCCCCGCCTGCGTGCTAGGGCTCCGATTGGCCAAGTGACCCTCGGAAGGGCATAGCCAGGGAGTTGGAACCAGGAGACGTGGGCGGCGCGAGGACTGGCGGGTGGGAGCGGTGACCGTACGCAGACCGGCTGTGCGGGGTACGCGGGTCTCCGCGGGAGGTAAGCAGGCTAGGCATCGGAAGCGCTCCCCTCCCGCCGGCAGCCGCGGGTCGAGGTGGCCGGGGAGATCGACTTCTGGGATTCCACTGGAGCAGAGTGCTCTCTACTTGCTGACTTGTGGAGCCTCCTTAGGAAGCGGTTGACAGCAGGGACTCCGGAGCCACTGAGTCCCCGAGGTGTGCCTGAGCTGTGAGCCGGGAGAGGGTCCTCCACAGGGTTTCAGTCCGCACCTTGTCCCACGAGGTTCCGGGAGTCATTATTTGGCCTGTGATGTCTTAAGGGTGGGAGGAGCGGTTCTCACTGGCCTCTGATTTGAGACCCTGAAGAGTTTGAGTCAGCGACTGTTCATAAAGGAAGTTACTGAGGTGGGACCGGGCCCGGACTTTCCTAGGGAACACCTGAAGTGCAGAAGCCCCGTCACCAGGCCTCAGTAGGAGGAAAAACGGCAGTTCCGAGTCACTCTGGAACGCGTGCACACGCCTAGAGGGAGCAGGCCTTGGAATTTGAACACAGCTGATATCAGATTCCACAGGGTTAGAGGCCGAGGAGGAGGGGCGATCAGTGCTGGGGTCAAGATCCCTGCGGTTTGTGTAAACTGAAGTGCCTCACTTGCTGTGCGTCCTGCCCACGTCAGCTCTCAGAGCTGCCTAGAGGGGCCAGGCCAGTTGCCTGAGCACTGGGACCTGGCCAACCCAGCCGCGCCAAGAAAGGAGGGGTTTGGCATTGTGGCCTGGGGGGTGGGACAGGCCACCCTGTGTGTATGTGGTAAGAGAAGACATGAAGATCGGGCAGTAGAAGACTACACACTCTGGAGTTTTAAGAACTTCTGATTCTGGGTGTGCTGGGGGGCTGGGTTTTTTGTTTAATATGAAGAGGGCATGCCTTTCAGGAGTCATTCTCTCCTTTTCATCATGTGAGTTCCCGGGATGGAATTCAGTCAGTCTTGGCCACAAATACTTTTATCCTCTGAGCCATCTTGCCCAACTAGGTTTTGGTTTTTTTTTTTTTTTTTTTTTTTTTTTTAAGATAAGATCTCACTATATAGCCCAGATTGATTGACCTAGAACTCTCTATCCTCCTGCCTCATCTTCTCAGGTACTGGATTACAGGTATGCGCCCTAGGCCAAAGTTTCTCTTCCTTGCCTCAGAGCTTATTTGAAAGTTTGGCCACTAGCTGAGGTTCTAGGGTGGTGGCTGTGAAGGGACTTGGTGCTTTCTCCAGGTGAGCATTTTGGGGGACTAAGTTAGATCAAACATGCTCTGTGCTCCATTTTATACCTAGCTAGCAGCAGGTGCTGAGAAAGTGGCACCTAAGAGTTCGTTTTACTTATTCTGTTCTCCTGGAAGAGGATTCCAGAAAGTTTCAGTGACTCACTACCCTTGTAATAACTTAGGAATGCTCACACTAGCCTGTGGGCTGGCAAGGTGACCCTACCTGCCCCTGTAACCTGACCTCTTACAGGAGGGGGTGCCTTACTCCCTCCTCCTGAGTCCCAGGTTCCAGACCTCTCATAGAGGCTGTACCACAGTGGGCAACAGGATATGATGGGTTCTATTGGGACAGATATCGTTGCCAGTATCCATGAGTAAGGTGCCTTGTGCATTTTGCATGTGTCAAGGGTCAACAAGCCTTTTCTATAAGGGGCCAGAGAGTAAATGTATTTTAGGTTGTGTTAGCTTGAATGTGATTGTATTTCACTAAGGTTGCATTTAGGAAGGCTGGCAGTGGGCCAGATTGGGTCTGGATTTTTAGCTCCTGGTTGTAGATCACATTTCCTTCTTGGCTGTCTGTCACATGTTTCTCAGTGATGGGCATTTGGGTTGCTTCTGCCTCTTGGCTTTAGTAAACACACAAGAATATAGATATTCCTTCCAGTCCCTTTGGAGACAGACCCATAGTGGGAAAGGTGGGTGTAAGGTAATTCTATTTTTAATTTTTTGAGGAAACTTCGGGTTGTTTTCCATAGTAGCTATGTCGTTTCTTCTCAGGATGTATTTGTTTATTTTATGGGTGTATCTATGTATGTGCACCACATACATGCAGATCCCTTGGAACTGGAGTTCCAGAAGGCTGTGAGCCACCTGATGTAGGTGTTGAAAACTGAACCTGGGCCCTGCAAGAGCATCAGAAACCACTGAGCTCCAGCCCATAGCTATAGCATTTTACACTTCCAGCAACTGTGCATACCTTTTTCGCTTTTCCCACATCGGCACTTACTGTACCCTTCCAATGGGTATGGGATCTCCTGTTTTTACTTGTAGATGGGTTTCTTGAATAGTTTGGAATGTTATGTGGTTTCTGCATAAGTGATAGTCAGTTGTATGTGCCATCCTAGGGCTGCTCACCTCAGTCCATTAAGTGTTCATTACTCCTGTTGGTCCATTTATCCATCATGTGAGAAGAACCTGGTTTTTTTTTAAGATTTATTTTTATTTTTATTCATGTGTCTGTGTGACTGAATGCCACATGTGTGTGGATGCCTCAGAAGCCAGAAAGAGTGTATCAGATCCCCTGGAGCTGGAGCTACAGGCAGTTGTAAGCCAGGCACCCAATGTGGGTACTGGGATCCAAATTCTGTCCTCAAGAAGAGCAGAAAGTGTTCCTAACCTCTGAGCCATCGTTCCAGCCCAAAACCCTGTTTCTTATTAGATCCTCTCTCTGCTCCTGTTTCAGTTGTCTCTGCTACCCGGAAGCCACTGCACCTTTGGCTTTACTGCCTCTGGGCCATTCTGGTCTCTCCACAGGAAGATGTTATCCACATTGACCCCCAGCACAGTGCCTGGTGGCCATGGAGGTAGCATGCTGGCACATTAAGGGACACAGGTTGGGTTTGTCAGATTGTCCCTCAGCCAAGAACTGGTGATCAGTTAGCAGAATGACTTGGGGTTGCAAAGTTTGCTGCCGAGATCAGCAAACTAAAAATAGTTATTATATCAGGTGGTGTGGGCAGCACTTTGTGTGTGCGTGTTGTGTGTGTGTGTGTGTGTGTGTGTGTGTCTCAGCAGATGTTTGTATGTGGTAAGAGGTCAAATCACTCCTGTTTCCTCCCAACAAGTAAGAACTGAGTATCAAAGAGAGGTTCATGTACATGACACCTTACTGTGTGCATGGCACAGTTTTAAGAATTGTTGATATAGCTATTAACAAGAAAAGGCTTCTGTTCTGTTGGAACTAAGGATTGAGTGGAGGCAATAGAAGGTCACATGCAGTAACTAGACAGGAAAATACCAGGGGTTTTTTGGGTTTGTGTGTGTGTGTGTGTGTGTTAAGGCCAAAGATTGATGTCTGGTGTCTTCCTCAATTGCTGTCCACCTTGGTTTTTTAAAGATTCATTTAACTTTTAGTCATAGGTATACATATATGAATGATATCTTAGTTAGAATTTCTATTGCTGTGACGAAATACCATGACCAAAAAGCAAGTTGGGGAGGAAAGGGTTTATTTGCCTTACACTTAACAGCACTGTTCATCATTGAAGGAAGTCAGGACAGGAACGCAAACAGGGAAGGAACCTGGAGGCAGAAGCTGATGCAGAGACCATTGAGGGATGCTGCTCACTAGCCTGCTCAACTGGCTTGCTCAGCTTGCTTTGTTTTAGAACCCAGGACCACCAGCTCAGGGATGACACCACCCATGATGGGCTGGACCCTCCCACATCAATCACTAAGAAAATACCTTACAGTGGGATCTTTTTTTTTTTTTTTTTTTTTTTTTTGGTTTTTCGAGACAGGGTTTCTCTGTGTAGCTTTGCGCCTTTCCTGGAACTCACTTGGTAGTCCAGGCTGGCCTCGAACTCACAGAGATCCGCCTGGCTCTGCCTCCCGAGTGCTGGGATTAAAGGCGTGCGCCACCACCGCCCGGCGTACAGTGGGATCTTATGGCGGCATTTTCTCAATTGTGGTTCCCTTCAGTTAATTCCAGCTTTTGTCAAGTTGACATAAGACTAGCCAGCACAGGTGGGTATATGCAATTATGAATGCAGATGTCCACAGAATCCAGAAGAGGGTACTGGATTCCCTGTAGCTGGAGTTAAGGAGGTTGGGAGCTGGGAATTGAACTTAGGTCCTCTGGAAAAGCAGTATAGGCCTCGATAGCTTTTTTTTTTTTTTTTTTTTTTTTCTTCAGAAAAGGTCTGTCACTGATCCTGGCACTCACAGATTCAGCTAGATTGGCTGGTCAGCAAGCCTCAAGGATCCTCTTATCTCTACTCCCAGCCATGGAATTACAGACACACCACCACTCCTGGCTTTTTACATGGGGCCTCAAGATCTACTCAGGTCCTTACACTGGTGGGCAATCTCCCCAGCCCCATGACTAGGTCTTGATAAGTGTTATGAAGGGGAAAAACAAAACAAACAAAAACAGGGTGGCATCTTACAGAAGGGGTCAGCAAACTTTTCTACAATGGTCCAAATTGTCAGTATTTCAGGTTTTATTACCACATGACTCCTGTCACCACTTAACTCTGCCATACCCTATAAATGAATGTGCACAGACATGTTACAATAAAACTTTATTTATAAAAATGGGCTCTGGGCTACATTTGACCTCTGGCCAGTTTGCTATCACTGGGAGAAGCTTCCTGAGATGAGGAACAAAGAATCTTTCTAAGCTGGTCATGGGCCAGGGCCAATATGGGATGGCCTATTCCAGGTGAGGCAAGATGGCACCTTGCTGTTTTACGGTGGTGGAGTTGCATGCTGAGAAATCTGTTGTGTAAGAAAGAGGAGGCTCAGGCGGATCTCTGTGAGTTCGAGGCCAGCCTGGGCTACCAAGTGAGTTCCAGGAAAGGCGCAAAGCTACACAGAGAAACCCTGTCTCGAAAAACCAAAACAAAAAACAAAAAAAAAAAAAAAAAAAGAAAGAGGAGGCTCAAGGGTGAAGACTAGATTTGGAGTTTGAGCCACTGGGTGCATGGTGTTTCTGATGATGGAGAAGAGCTAAGAGGAGAGGGCCCAGGAAACATTGGGTTCAGTGTTGAGTATAAGAAGCTAATTTGATGACTGGGTAGGCAAGTGGCTATCTACACCTAGAGCTTAGTAGAGATGCCAGGCCTGGAAGCTTGGACCAGGAAGTGGCCACATCCGTGTATCCTTCAGTTTTGAGTATGCTGGGCTTAGAAGGGTGGGTATGAATATCAGGAGGTAGCTAGGGTATGCTGTGAGGCTACCAGTGAGCCACACCCCCAGCCCCTCACTGGGGGATTCTAGGCTGGGGCTCTACCACTGAGCCACACCTACCTAGTACATCAACAGAGAACCCAAGTGGGCTTTGCACTCCACAGAGGAGGCTCTATCTTCTGAGCTGTATTCCCTCCAACTAACTACCAGAGTCTGTTTCCCTCCTGTAAGATGGGGACAGAGGGTTTTCTAACCTGCTAGGGTTTGTATGAGGACTAAATGAAGTAAAGCTGCCCTTGGCTGAGAGCTAGTACTCAGCACATGGCCCCTGAGATGGCAGTGTGGCCCCTGTTCAGCCACCCAGAACAGCTGGATACCTTGGGCAGATGAAGGATCGAAGAGTCTGTGATCAGTTTGGATCCCAGACACTCATATTGTCCAACATACACTGTTCAGTGTGTGCACCCCCCTTCTTCCAATCACAGACTGTCCCAAACAGCTGATGGGAGTTGGATGCTCACCATTCCAGTTTCCTTGCTCCTGATGCATGCCTGAGTTGTGCTCTACTTCCAAGGCTCCTAGGACCACTGAGTCTCTTATTTCTTGCATTAACTCCTCATGGCTATCTTTCCACCACCAGCTGCCTCCCATATGCCTCCTACAGGAGAATCTCCGTCACCCACCCCACCCCCAATAATATTCCACTCCTTGTATCAAGTCAGCCTCTGGAGCGCTAAGTTTCTGTGCCTGGGAGGCTGGAGGCTTGGGATAATAGGTTTGTCTGGTTTGGTGCGTGAGTGAGCTGGTGTAGGGGGCGGTGAGCAGTGTGGTTCTGACTTCATGGGCAAGCTGATAGCCTCCCTGTCTGCCTTCTACAGCCTAGCTACTGAGAAGATGGTGGACCATTTGGCAAACACAGAGATCAACAGCCAGCGGATCGCAGCAGTGGAGAGCTGTTTTGGGGCATCAGGGCAGCCGCTGGCCCTGCCTGGCCGTGTGCTCCTGGGCGAGGGCGTGCTGACCAAGGAGTGCCGAAAGAAGGCCAAGCCACGCATCTTCTTCCTCTTCAACGACATCCTGGTGTATGGCAGTATTGTGCTTAGCAAGCGCAAGTACCGCAGCCAGCATATTATTCCCCTGGAAGAGGTAACATTGGAGCCACTGCCAGAGACCCTGCAGGCCAAGAACCGCTGGATGATCAAGACAGCCAAGAAGTCCTTTGTGGTGTCCGCAGCCTCTTCCACGGAGCGCCAGGAATGGATTAGCCACATTGAAGAGTGTGTGCGGAGGCAGCTGCTGGCCACAGGCCGCCAGCCCACCACTGAGCATGCAGCACCCTGGATCCCTGACAAGGCCACAGACATCTGCATGCGTTGCACACAGACACGCTTCTCGGCACTTACCCGGCGTCACCACTGCCGAAAATGCGGGTTTGTGGTCTGTGCTGAGTGTTCCAAGGAGCGTTTTCTGCTGCCACGTCTCTCCCCCAAACCCCTTCGTGTCTGCAGCCTCTGCTACCGTGAGCTGGCAGCCCAAAAGCGAAGGGAGGAGGCCAAGGAGAGGTACAGGGACTCTCCAGGGCAGCCAACCCACCTAGGCGGTGCTGTCTGTGGTGCATCCAGTGGTGATGATGATGACTCCGATGAGGACAGAGAAGGCAGTGGAGATGGTGACTGGCCCAGCCAGGTGGAATTCTATGCTTCTGGTGTCTCCTGGTCAGCCTTCCACAGTTGACCCTCACCTTCAGAGTGTCTGCATCAAGCCAGTCCACTGCCCACGGCCCCAAGAGTGCAGGTCCTGAACTGTCTGATTTTGCTGGGACCCAAGCCCATGGTAGTGCGCATATGACAGGTAGCTGTTCCGGAGCCATTACTAGTGCCTTTCTGCTAGACAGCAGCATCCTAGGCCTTCTTCTACTTCTGGTCAGATAATTGCCTTTCTATTTCACAAGGCCCAGAACCTTGGTGGCCTTGGTGACCAGGCTACTACAGCCCTTGGGGTTAGACCAGGCCAGGTGTCCCAAGCATTAAAAGACCAGGGTGGAAGAGGGCAAAGGGAAGACCAGACCAGAGTGGAGGTCCACTCCACTCTGAAGCTTGAGCTTCAGACCCCATTCCCACCTCCACCCCTTAACAGGCACAGACCATGCCAGCACAGAAGGCCTGCACACCCACCATCATGCAGATATCACCACCTGACCACTGACGGAGTCCTTGCCAAGCTAGACCCCAGATGCACTGTTTGTGCCTTTGGGGCCCAGGTGAGCTGCAGCCTGTGCTCCCCCAGCCCAGAGCAGCCCATCAAGGTCTCTGCCCTGTCACCACTCTCCAAATGTCTGGTACCTGTCCTGTCCCCATCTCTATCTGCAGTCAGTAGAAGCAATGTTTCCCCTTAGGACTCTGGATTTCAAGGACAGAAACCCTATCCAGACTGACTTACCAATAAAAAAACAACAACAACAAAATACAACTCTTGATTGCTAAGTCTAAGAGTACCCTAGCTTAAGACACTACTCAATCAGTGGTAGAAACCATGGTTAGGGACAGCCACCCCTGATACTGCCACACTGGGCATTCCTGGAAATGCCTCCCACCCAGTGAGACATTCATGCCACACTGTGGCTGGCTCCCCAAGAACAAAGCCCCATTCTGCTGCTTTGATAGCCAGCCGGCCTGCCTGCCTGCCTGCCTGCCTGCCTGCCTTCTTTCCTTTTTCTTTGAGACAGGGACTTGTTACAAAGGGCTGATACAAACTTGAGATCCTCTGGCCTCAGCCTCCCCAGTGCTGAGATTACAGGCATATATCACTATACCCAGCTTATTGGTGTGGGCTGTCTAAATGGGTGGTAAAGGAAAATAGGTGTTTGTCTGGCTCAGCCTGATCCTTCTGGGGTAAAAAGACTCCTGTGTAGTCTCTGCTCAGCCCCTGCAGATGGTGTCTATGATTTGGGGAGCAAGCCGCTAGCTTTGCGTGTAGACTAGAACATTTCAGGGCCTTTCAGAAGCCTTCCTTAAAGCTGTTCATGGCAGTCCATGCCTGTAATTCCAAGATTGTGAGTCTGAAGCCAGCCCTAGCTACATAAAAACCCTGTCTTGGGAAACCATGCTTTCTGCAGGTATTTATCAGTCTTTGCCCAGTACCTGGCTGTCCTTGAATGGAGTCCCTGTGTATAGAGTGGGGTCACTGTCAGGTGCATGTGGGACTTTGGTGCTAAGAAAACTTCCCTCCGACTCTAGTATAGTGAACCCCTATTATCAGGGATCTCCATCCCCCCAATATAATGTTGTCTTCCATGTCTATGTTCTGGTTCTATAGGTTGTGTCCAGATCCCAAAGTCTACAGTTGACAGACATGTGGTCGGTCATCCTCTAAAGAGTGCTGGAGGGGTAGAATATGGAGCACCCAGGAGCTGCCTGTGACCCTTCCTGTCCTGGCAGTGACACGCTGGGGAGGATTGGGGAAGTGTTTGTTTGCAGCCCCTTTCACGTTGTGGCCTCTGTCAGCACACAGACTGGTTCAGGCTGCTTCTCCTGTTTGGGCCCAGGACCAGGCAGGTTCCTAGGTGAGGCGCGGCTTCCTAAACCTAGATCTAGTGTCTTTTCAGCAATCCAGACCAGATAGCCCCATCCCTTCCACCCATGGCTGGTGACTTACAAACCTCACTCCCTTGGAACCTTCCTTTCCTAGAAACCTTCAGGGTATAAAAGGCAGCAGCAGTTCCTGTGGACAGAAGGAACTGCCTGAGGCTGAGCCTGGGTCTAGCCGCTGTCCTTATCGCCTGACAAAATGAGCATGGTGCAGGAATCTGGGTGGTTGGGGCAGGCTGTGGAGGGCCATGTGGCACTGGTAAGTAGAGACAGGAGCTGACTCATCCCTCAGCCCAGGGCTCAGACCTAGGACAAGAATGTTACTTCCCTAAGCCCCAAGATGTCAGAGACCACAAGGGCCCAAGGTTGTCAACAACCTTGGGAAGGTGTTCATTTATTCAAAGCTACTGAGACTTGCTGTGTTCCCTGCCAGACACCGCTGTGAATAAGATGGACTTGGCTCTCAGTTTTGAGAGGGGAGACTACATTCTAGCAGGTGGGCTGAGGCTGGTGCATAGAGGCACACCCCGAGTGAAGAGAGTGAGCCGTGCCAGTGGAGAAACAACCCTCCAGGTATTGGCAATGACTTGTGTCAAGGCCCTGAAGAGGAAGGGGTCCATGTGTCCTGGAGAAACATGATGGGGTCAAGGCCAAATGACAATAGACCCCCCCAGGACCACAGAGGCTTCTACAAGCAACAATCTGTTCTCTGCTCTGATGACTTTGTTCTGACTTGTCAGCAGATGGTTGGAGAGTGGGGAGGTAGGCAGGCATGGGGACTGTGTGCACAGAAGCTAGCTTGGGATTTCCAAGGGGGAATCTAAGAAAAGTCCATCCTCTGCTCTTTCTGCCTATGGTGGTAGGCAGGAAGCTTCCATGGTCTTCCTTCTGTCCCTGACTCTTTTCTACTGAGATACTGAGGGAACTCCCAGGAGCCAAATGACTGTGGGACTCTTGTGCGAGACCAAGTGATACCCAGTATCCCCCGACTGCTGAAGCTTTCGTTACAGGGGAACAGACTGCAGGAATGAAAGCCTTGAAATAAGATGTGTAAGAAACTAAAGTGGGGGCTGGAGAGATGGCTCAGAGGTTAAGAGCACTGGCTGTTCTTCCAGAGGTCCTGAGTTCAATTCCCAGCAACCACATGGTGGCTGAAAACCATCTATAATGAGATCTGGTTTCCTCCTTGGGCCTGCAGGGACACATGCAGGCAGAACACTGTATCCATAATAAATAAATACATCTTTAAAAAAGAAAAGAAAAGAAAATGGTGAGGACGTTTGGAAGAGAAAACCTGTGCCCTAATGTAATAGTGCAGTCACTACAGAAGGCGTTGTGCAGGCCCCCAGCAAACAAAACAGAACTGGGAATGACCCAGTTCAATCTGGGTAGTCAGCATACACTTGGGTACCACTTGGGTACCTAGCAGTATTCACAACCGTCAATATGGCACTAACCTAGGTGTCTATCAGCTCATGAACAGATAAAGAAAATGTAACATACACTGGAGATTTATTCAGACACCAAGGAGAAGGAAATTGTGTCATTTGTAGAGAAATAGATGGAACCAGAGATGGCCATGTTAAACCAAACAAGCTAGACTCAAAAGATCACATGCTTTCTCTCATAGGCAGAGTCTAATTTTTTTAAAAAGATGTGAAAGTATAAGGGTACGATTTAAGAAGAGGGAGGGGACCAGTGAGGGAGCAAGAGAGAGAAATGGGGTGAATATGATCAAAGTGTTTGATAAATATGTGTAAATGTAATAAAAAAAAGTCTAGCATGTGGCCATAGAATGGAGCCTGAGAAGGGAAGGAACTGTGTGGGAGATTGTCCTCAGTCCCTTGCTGAGGCAGCATGGTCAGCCAGGCTGGGATCAAGGCTTTGCAGGCATGTTATTTAGGCTGTTCTCAAAGAGGGGCCTGCCTGAGGAGCAGGTACAGCCCCCTCTGTTGCCCAGCCACACAGGTATACACCACTCTCAGTTGGGGCTTTCCAGCCAAGGTGCTGAGGGCTAAGTCAAGGCTATACTGCTGACTTTTGGGCCACCACCCCACCCAGGGGCTCAGGAGTTCTTAGGATAGACTTCAGTACCTCAGCTCTTTGTCTTGTTTACCCAGTACTGAACTGAAGGCCAACAGGATCTGAGAGCTATGTCTGATGGGTTGGGGCCAGTCTTGTTAACTGAACTGAAGGCCAACAGGATCTGAGAGCTGTGTCTGATGGGTTGGGGCCAGGCTTCACACTCTTGCCCATGGCTCTGTTCACAAGGCCTGGCAAAGACTCAGGAACCCACTGTCCTGCCAGCAAAGTCTTCCTGAAATGTCCTCCCGGCTGTGTGAATACTGTCCCTGCCAGGAGCATGTGATTCTCTAGCAGCATTGGGTTCTTGGGAGGGGGTCTGCCTTGCCCCACCTGGAAATGAAGAGAGACAAAGGAGCTCTAAGGCCAGGACCCTGCGTTGACAGCATGGGAACTTGCACCTCAACATTGCCTGAACCAGCTGTGCAGAGTCCAGCCTGATGGAGTGTTGGGGTAAGAGGTAAGGTTGCAGCTGTGACCCAGTGTATCAGGGGCAGATGACAGACTGCTCTTGCAGTTCAGTGGGGTCCAATTTTCACACAGGATTCAGATACCAGGAGAGGCCGTGCAAGGGCCATCGTTAGGGATCCTAGCCTGTGCATTTGTCCATGGGACTTCCAAGTGCCACATTTTCTCAAAGGAGAGAGCCACTTATATATCACTAGTGATATCCAAGTGTGGTCTGCCAAGGTGAGGAGGAAGGCAGGGGATTCTAGGACCCCAAGAATGGTGTCCCTGTGTTGATGAGGGTAAATGCTGGTGTCTACTTACTAAGGTCTGTCTGTATTTGATGCAGAGACAAAGGCAGGTCACACAAAGCCTTCTTGAGGCTCAAAGAGGATGGCCTTAGAAGACCTTCCTAGAAAAGGTGGTGTTTGTTGGCACCTCAAAATGAGGTGCCTCAGCAGGCTTTATCTTGGTATCTGTGAGGACTAGAATACTGGTTCTTACTTGTTTTGTTAAAATTTCTTTTTTTTTTAATTTTTAATAAAAAAAAAAAGTGGTCAGTCATAGTGGCACATAACTTTAATCCCAGCACTTGGGAAGCAGAAGCAGGTGAATCTCTGAGTTCAAGGCCAGCCTGGTCTATAGAGCAAGTTCCAAGACAGCCAGGGTTACTCAGAGAAACCCTGTGTACTGAGTGGTTTTGTGTGTCAACTTGACACACACTAGAGTCATCAGAGAGGAAGGAGCCTCAGTTGAAGAAATGCCTCCTTGGGATCCAGCTGTAAGGCATTTTCTCATTTAGTGATTGATGGGGGAGGGCCCAGCCCATGGTGGGTGGTGCTATCCCTGAGCTGCTGGTCCTGGGTTCTCTAAGAAAGTGGGCTGAGCAAGCCATGGGAAGCAAGCCAGTAAGCAGCACCCTTCCATGGCCTCTGCATCACTGCATCAGCTCCTGTCTCTGTCCTGACTTCCTTTAGTGATGAACAGCAAAGTGGAAGTGTAAGAGAAATTAAGCCTTTCCTCCCCCAACTTGCCTTTTGGCCAAGGTGTTTCATTGCAGCAATAGACACCCTGTCTCAAAAAATAAACAAAAAGTATATTACATTTGCTTGTGTAGGTGTGGGAGGCATGTACCATGTGGAGGTCGGAGGACAACTTGTAAGAGTCAGTTTTCTCTCTCTGCTATGTAGATACCAGCAGACTTTCATAAGGCTTCTATAGACCATGATTTTCCATATGACACCAAAAGCAAAAATAGACAGGAGGGCCATAGTCAACTGAAAAGAGTGGACAGACAGGCAGCAAAAAGAAAAACAAACGGACAGGATCTCACTTTCACTTTGGCTGACTTGAAATTTGCTATGTAGACCAGGCTGGCATTGATCTCACAGAGACCCACCTGCCTTTGCCCCCTGAGTCATAGGGTGGTGTTACCTGTAATCCTTGGGAAGCTGAGGCAACAGTTCATGAGTTAAAGGCCAGTCTGGGCTTCATAGTGAGATCCTACCTCAGATAAACAAACCAAACAACAAAAGAAAATTCAAGCTAGTTGTAAAATTGGGCAAATAGACACTTTTCAAAAGAAGAAATGAAATATATGTTATTTACATATTTTCCATATATATATATATATATATTAATACCAAGCATTTATATATAATTCTATATTGTAATATATATAACTAATATATATTAATGCTTAGTATGATTAGCCATCAGGGAAATATAAATCAAAACTTCATTGACCTGTCATTTCACCCCAGTTAGAATGTTTACTATTTAAAAAATAAAAGTCCCTGCTGTAAGGCTGTGGGTCAAAGGAGCCACACACACTGTTGGCAGGGCAAGTGAACTAGGTCAGCCATTCTATAACAGTGTGAGGGGGTCCTCAGCTGAATGGGAGATCTGACACTTGAGCCAACTCTCTCACCTCAGGGTCTCATCAAAGAAAATGACACCAGCATACCAGAAAATGTGCCCACATACCATGGATGGGCTTGACAGCAAAGTCACAATAGCTAATTCACACATGGGGTCCCAGAAGCAGGGCAAGTTCTTCCTGACACCCACTGTGAGTTGGCCCCACAGGCTGGGGCAGAAGTGCCCACCATACCAGACAGAAGTTTCTGGAGAGATTGCATCTGTTCCACTGAGAGCTTGCTTGGAGCTGTTATCTAAGTGGATGCCTGACTGCCTCTCTGCCTCTCCCTTGCCTCTCTGTCTTTCCTTTAAACACCACTGTAAAATGGCTGCTGGGGGAATTCAGATCACCCACTGGGACTGGGACCCTGTAAGAGCAACTCAAAGGCTGACCCAATTCTCAGTCAGAATCTGACGTCTCGGGACAGGTACAAAACAAGAGTAGCCACTTCCTCTTGGCCTGCTTGTTACTGAGGCCTCCAGGATGTGACCTACCCAGACAGGGTCTGTGGGGAGGGGCATGGCTATCTCTGGGTGTGGAACTTTTCACATGGTAGATTATCAGGTTCTGACCACCCCCAAGCTTAAGCCTCAGCCCTTGCCACTGTCTGCAGAGGTCCTGACTTGTGAAAGCCCACATCCTCCTTGTATATGCTCTGTCTCCAAGCAGGCTTGCTAGGAACTGTGCTCAGAGGGCAAAAGAAGGGCCTAGGGCAGTGAAGAGGGGTCTGCCTAGCCAACCCTGCCAGTCAGCCTCAGCTTCCCAGGGCTGCTTTCTGACTGCCCACCACTCCCCTGTTCTGCCCAGGATGTTTAGCCTTCTAGCACAGATACCACCTGAGGTTTCTCTGCAGCCTTCCTGGATGATGGGCTTGCCTATCTCTGTTCCCCTACTCTAGCTTCCTCACCTTCCTACAAACTATCCCATTTGGTACCCTGTGAAGTACTGGGCAATTTAATTGCAGATGATTCCTTTGAAGGTGACATCAGTACCTCCCCTAGCTTCTGGGGCATTGTGGGAAAATGTGGTGGTATGAATGAGAATGGTCCCCATAGGCTCAAGTATTTGATTTTTTTTGTTTTGTTTTTCAACACAGGTCTTCTCTGTGTAGCCCTGGCTGTCCTGGAACTCACTCTGTAGACCAGGCTAGCTTTAAACTCAAGAGATCCTCCTACCTCTGCCTCTGGAGTGTTGGGATTAAAGATGTGCACCACCATCATTCAATGGCTCATATATTTGAATGCTTAGTCAACGGGGAGTGAAACTTAGAGGGGGTGTGTCACTGAGGTTTCAAAAGCCCATACAACCAGACTGACTCTCTCTCTCTCTCTCTCTCTCTCTCTCTCCCCCCCCCCCCGACAGCATACTCTGAAACTGTAAGCAAGCCCCCAATTAAATGTTTTTCTCTTCTAAGTTGCCTTTGTCATGATGTCTCCTCCCAGCAATCGAACAGTGACTAAGACACTGTCAAAGGCTGTGCACTGTGAGCTGACTCCATCAGCTTTGCCTACCTACTTGTCCTGCACTGGGCATCCATCCAGACACTCCTGGGTCTCCCAGCTCTGCCCTTGTTTCTACTTCTTCTCTCACCCTTCCAGCAATACCCTATCTGTGGATGCCCTGGGTCCAGGACCCTGTCACACACCAGTACACAGGGAAATTTGCACAGGAATGGGGTCTGTACATTGAAACACCCAAGAAGCTTCCTTTGGGCAGAGTGGAAGCCCTACCAGCAAGAACACAGGGGTGAACATGGGCCAGGCTGTGTAGGTGGAGTCCATATCCTAAAGGAGAGGAACTCTATACACACACTCTCCATATAAGCCCCCACCCCCACCCCAACACACACACAACCTCTCTAGGGAGCTCTTGCCCAGGAAAAAGAATGAAAATCCCAGTGACCTCCAGACCTCTTCTCACCCTTCTTCATCTTTAGGGTTAGGAAACCAAGGCCTAGGGAGCAGACACTCAACCCCCACCTGACACTTAGGATCAAGACAGGGTAAGCCAGACCAGGGCTGTCTTCTGTCTTCCCAAGCCCCTCCTTTCCCCTGCTATCTCCCACTTCAGCCTCCCAGGCCAACAGAGAGACAGCATGGGGTGGGGGTGCAAGACAGTTCTGGGGAAAAACAAGGGGAAATTTCAATCATTGGAGCTTCATGGGGATTCTGGAAGATTCTAATTCCAAAAATGAGGCCTTCCAGAATGCCCTTCTGGCACAAAGTGGCTCCCAAGCTGGCAGGAGTGAACCTGGCATCTGAACCAGTTGTCCACTACGCAGGAGTCCTCCCAGGGTGACATTCCCTCTGCATAGCCACACTCACCATAGCTCCTAGCTATCCACTGTAATACCTGGCTATGGAAATTTCCAAAGCTTGCAAATCACCAAAATCCTGAACACACCCAAATGGCTTCTTCTGGGTTCCAAATAGCAACAAAGCCTTCTGGGAGGCCCCATTCCTACCCACAAGGAGCAAAGCCTTTGACCTTTTTCAGCTCTCAGCCAATCATCCTCTTGCTGGCTGGGGGGGGGGGGGGGGGGGGTTGTTCCTGAGTGTCTCCTGGAGCCAGAGTAAGAAGTAGAGCCTCCTAGCAGGAGAGTTCCCAGGGAAGGCAGCTGTGCACCAGGCTCCCCTGAGCACCAGTCCTCTTCAGAAGGTCACCCTTGAGGGCCCTCTTTCCTCCCCCAGCCTTTTGGTTTGTCATGGATGACCTCACCCATATCCTGGCTTTAGAAACAGCCTCCTGACTTAAGTCTTGACAACCAGAACAATCTTCAGTCTGCAAGATCAACCTCACCTCACCTCACCTACCTGTGTCAGGGAGGCGTGATCCTGAGGTCACACCAGCAGGTGTCACCATAGTTCTTGGGAGATTCCCGGAAAGCAATGAGCTGGGGGTCTCAGGGTCTAGATTCACCTCTGTCTGTCTCTTTCTGTGTCTGTCTCTCTCTGTGTCTCTGTCTCTGTCTCTGTCTCTGTCTCTGTCTCTGTCTCTCTCTCTCTCTCTCTCTCTCTCTCTCTCTCTCTCTCTCTCTTTCTCCTGTGTATGTGTTATGCCCAGATTGGGACCCCAAAGACAAACCACCACAGACCTTAGGTTCAGAATGCAATTAGCATGGTTTATTTCTGTTTACAAGCCGCGGACAGGGAAGCTCCATCCAAAGCACTCACTCGCAGTGGTGAGGCCAGGAGGAACTTGCTTTTTCTTTGTGTGGCTAGCTTTTTAAAGGCAAAATCCACAAGCCCTTCAGGGGGGTTGGGGGAGTTTTGCACGGGTGCAACTCGGATTGGTTTATCTTTATCTCTGTTCTCTTTTAATTGGGTGAGGGTATGTAACCTTTGAATTTACTGGTTGGTGGTTACAATTTATTACTTTGGGGGCAGTCCAGCACAAGTCCCAGGCTTTGTCCTTGAGCCACCATGGGGGCTGGCTGGTCAAGCACGTACTGCACATAACTCTAAGTTGGTGAGGGGCCCCAGAAAGTAAACATCTGGCTAAACTTTGAGCAGTCTTTTGTTCATGGCCCTCCCAGAAACTGCTTGCTCAAGTCTCAGGAAACTGAAATTGAGGCCTGATCTCTGAGAGAAGACTGAGCAGCCTGTTATGGCATCTGCTTGGTCCTTTCATATGGGTGTTTGGCTTCCATGTATGTATTTGTACCACTTGCTTACCTGGTTCCCATGGGAGCCAGAAAAGGACAATGGATCCCTGGGAATTGGGGTTACAGCTGATTGTAAGCCACCATGTGAATACTGGGAATTGAACCTGAGACCTCTAGAAGATCATGTAATGTTCTTAACCATTGAGCCATCTCTTCAGCCCTGTGCAAAGAAATCATCCAGCAATAAACAGCTCAAGACAAATAGATGAATAACAGGGTGTCCAAAACCACAATGGACACAATGATCCCTTTATTCAAGTCACAAACAAGCCAGTCTTTTGCCTCCTGAGCTAGTTACCATGAGTCACAACCCAGAAAGAAACACAATTCAGATACAATTTGATTTGGGGTACAAAGGCCTCCCAGTACTCCTCAACTTAGAAAAATAGTAATGTTGGAAGACCTTTGGCAGACCCACTGTGACACAGCAGCCTGATCCCCCCATCAATCACAGCAACCTGAGCCCCCCTGTCAGTCACAGAGCCCGAGCCTGAGCCCCCCTGTCAGTCACAGAGCCTGAGCCCTCCTGCCAATCACAGCACCCTGAGCCCTCCTGTCAATCACAGAGCCTAAGCCTGAGCCCCCCTCTGAATCACAAAGCCTGGGCCCTCCTGTGAATCACAGAGCCTGAGACCCCCTGTCAATCACAGTAGCCTGAACCCCCTGTCAGTCACAGAGCCTGAGCCTGAGCCTCCCTGTCAGTCGCAGAGCCTGAGCCCTCCTGTCAATCACAGAGCCTGAGCCTGAGCCCCCCTGTCAATCAGAGCCTGAGCCCCCCTGTCAATCACAGCAGCCTGAGCCACCTGTCAACCACAGAGCCTGAGCCTGAGCTTGAGCCCCCCTGTCAGTCACAGAGCCTGAGACCCCTTGTCAATCACAGCAGCCTGAGCCCTCCTGTACTTGTGTACTTTGATTCCACAGAGATGGAGCAGGAGAGGGAAATCTGTGTCTCCCAAGAAGTCCTGGGAAGAACTAACAGGAGGCCTGTTACAGAACAAGAAGTTCAGTTCATCCCACTCTTCCTCTTTCTTCCCCACTCCCTTCATCTTTCCTTTTTCCTTCCTTGAAAAGTTTGTTTCTTTATTCTTTTGATGGTGCTGGGCATTGAGCTTAGGCCTATGCCCATGCTAGAATAGCTCTTTACCACTGAGCCATGCCCCCAGCTTCCTTCATTTGTGTGTGTGTGTGTGTGTGTGTGTGTGTGTGTGTGTGTGTGTGTGTGTGAGAGAGAGAGAGAGAGAGAGAGAGAGAGAGAGCAGAAGGAGGAGGAGGAGGAGGAGGGACACAACTGGGTCATACTAAATTGCTCAGGCTGGCCTGGGACTCACTATATAGGCCCTGAACTTGTCATCTTCCCGCCTCAGTGACTGAAATGGCGTGTTTGAACCACCACACCATGCTTGGGGTTGATTTTGTTTCTGTTCTCTTTGCAGTGCTGGAGATGGAACCCAGAGTCTTACACATGTAAAGCAAGTGAGCGATGCACCACTCAGCTACATCCGCAGCCCTTTTTCTACTTTATTTTGAATCAGGGCTCAGTAAGTTGCCCAGGATAGCAATGAACTCACTCTGTAGCCCAGGCAAGCTTCAAACTTGTGACCCTCTTGTCTCAGCCTCCTGAGGAGCTGGGATTCCAAATCTGAACCACTCAGTTTAATTTTTCCCCTCTCGTACTTTCTCTTTTAACTGCTCTATAACCTCCCTCTAGTGAAGCACATACATCTTTTTAATGATTTATTTTTAATATTTTTAATTATGGGGTATAGGGCATATGCCCATGAGTGCAGTTGCTTTAGAGGCCAGATGAAGACATTAGATCCTCTGAGCTGGAGTTATAGGCAGTTCTGAGATGCCTGGCATGGGTGCTGGGAACTGAACCCAGGTCCTCTGCAGTATGTACTTTTTTTTTTTTTTTTTGAGATAGGATCTCACTGGCTGGCCTGGAACTCACTATGTATTCTAGTCTAGGCTGGCCTTGAAATTACAAAGATCCTCTTGCCTCTGCCTCCTAAGTATTGAGATTAAATGCATAGGCCACCACACCCAGCTAATATGCACTCTTAGCCACGGAGCCATCTTTCCATCCTAAGAACACTTTTTGTTTTGTTTCTGTTTCTTGAGACAAGGTCTCATTCCATAGCCTTAGCTGGTCTGGAACTCACTATGTAGACCAGGCTGGCCTCAAACTCACAGAGCTCTATCTACCTGTCTCTCTCTGCTGAGTACTAGAATTATCTGGAAAAATGAGTGTTCATCACGCTAGGGAGGCATGGTAGCAAATGGCTGGCATGGAGCAAGGAACAGGAAGCTGAGAGGTCACATCTTAACCACAAGCATGAAGCAGATGGAGCAAACTGGAAGCAAGGTGAAGAACATACTCTCAAAGCCCACCCCCAAGGACATACTGCCTCCAGCAAGGTCACACCTCATAAACCTCCCCAAACAGCAACACCACCTGGGGATATGTTCAAATGCCTGAGCCTATGGGGGACATTTATCATTCAAACCACCATACCAGGGTACTGTAGTCCTTTGCCTGGTGACCATTCTGGTTGTATTTGGAACTCTGGCCTCAGACCTTGTGCTGCGATGGTCTGTCTTCCTTCCTTTACTGGGAGGTAACTGACTCCCCCATGGGTATCTATCTGAGCCAAAGGTCATGCTAGGGCCAGAGGCCTGCCTGCAAAGGGACAGTGAATATTTTGGAGGCACTGAAACCACAGGAGAAGGGAGCAGATTGCCTCCTGTCTTTTTCATCCTTTGTTTATTCATTCAACAAATATCTGCTGAGTGCCTCCAAGAACTGGGACTACAGCTGTGACCCAAACAGGCAAAGCTCTCTCCTGGAGCTTACTGGTGCAGGGCGATAGACAGGAAACAAGTTAGAAATCTTGTTACTGAAGGAATCTAGGAAATTTCACCCCCAAACAACTGTGTAACCTGAGGATTAGTATCAAGTAAAGGCTCTTGGCAAGCAGGAGATACTGGGGAGGCTTCCCAGGATGCTCCCTCAGCTGAATAAAAGACTTTCGGTCATCCCCTGAGCTCCAGTGAACACACACACACACACACACACACACACACACACACACACACACACACACACACACACACCAAGAGAAGAGGAAGTGCCTGGACAGATTGTCAGCTATGGTTCTTCTCCCAAGTTTCATTCAGTTTCCAAAGAGTTGATCATTAACTGTTTTGGTTGCTCTCATTTCCTTAGCCTCCCAAGTTCACACTCCCATCTCCCGGTCTCCATAAAGAAAGACAGAGGTATCAGCACCACACTGGCTTTAGGTCACCACACTTCTGTGACTGTCCCTGTGTGTCAGTCTCGTTTCATTTCATTCCAGGGAGCCTTGTGGAGAGGGCTGAAGTGATCTCCTTTTGCCTTCACTACAATCTCATATCTCTGGCATCTTCTCCAGTGTTAAGATTTCCTGCAAAGAGGGGCCATGATGTTTGTAAAGCACATGCCTGTCCATATGAATTCAGCCTTGCTGGTGTGCTTTTATAGCTTGTTAAATTGAAGAGATTATCTCAGTATTCTTCCCCTGGATACAAATCCTTTCATTTGGTGGAGGAGCAGTGTGCTTGTTACTGTTTATCAGCTTGACACAAGCTTGAGTCATCAGGAAAGAGGGAACTTTGATTGAGGAATTGTCTATATCAGATTCACCTTTGGACATGTCTATGGGAACTTTTTCTTAATTAATGATTGATGTGGGAGGGCCCAGCCCACTGTGGGTGGTGCCATCCCTAGGCAGATGTTTTTGGGTTGTATGAGAAAGT